ACTAGAAGGAAAAGTTAGAGAAAAGAAAGGGAAATAGGATAAAAATTAAATCGAATTCAACTTCATCCTTTTGCACTTTAGAATTGAACACTTAGTTGATTTAGAAAACATTAAATGAGTTGCTTAAGTTAAAGTAATGTCGCTAAGCTACAATTACTTAGTAAATTCTCTTTCTTAGAGGCTAAGCAAGATGAGTTGGAGTTAAACTTAGCCACTTAAGCTAATGAATCTAATAGTTACCTAAGCTAATTAGTTCCTAGAACAAAAGAGAGAAGGATGGAGAAGGGTGGGGGACTTAGAGAGAAATTTTCTTTTCGAGTGGTTGAAGAGAAAGTTAGGGAAAAGAAAGGAAAATATGTTGAAAATTAAAGCGAATTCAAATTCAATCTTATGGACTTGAGAATTGAACAAAACCTTAAGTGAGATGATTTACAAAACCTTAAAAAATTAGAGAGAAACTTTCTTCTTGAGAGGTGGAAGAGAAAGTTAGAGAAAAGAAAGGGAAATACGATGAAATTTAAAGGAAATTTAATTTCATCTATTTTGACTTGAGAATTGAATACTTAGGTGACTTAGAAAACATGAAATGAGTTGCTTAAGTTAAACTAATATCGTGAAGCTACAATTACTTAGTAAAGTCTCTTTGAGAAAAGAAAGGGAAATATGTTAAAAATTAAAGCGAATTCAAATTCAATCTTATGGACTTGAGAATTGATCAAAACCTTAAGTGAGATGATTTACAAAACCTTAAAAAATTAGAGAGAAACTTTCTTCTTGAGAGGTGGAAGAGAAAGTTAGAGAAAAGAAAGGGAAATACGATGAAATTTAAAGGAAATTTAATTTCATCTATTTTGACTTGAGAATTGAATACTTAGGTGACTTAGAAAACATGAAATGAGTTGCTTAAGTTAAACTAATATCGTGAAGCTACAATTACTTAGTAAAGTCTCTTTCTTGGAGGCTAAGAAAGATTAGTTTGAGATAAACTTGGCCACTTAAGCTAATGAAACTTATAGTTGCCTAAGCTAATTTGTTCCTAGAGCAAAAGAGAGAAGGTTGGAGAAGAACGGAGAGAGTGAGAGAAAAACTTTCATCTTGAGTGGTAAGATAGAAATTTAGAGAAAAGAAAGGGAAATAAGATGAAAATTAAAGTGAATTCAAATTCATCCTTTTGGACTTGCAAATTGAACACTTAGGTGATTTAGAAAAAATGAAATGAGATAAACAATATTGTTAAGCTACAACTACTTAGTAAATTCTCTTTCTTGGAGGCTAAGCTAGATTAGTTTGAGTTAAACTTGGCCTCTTAAGCAAATGAAACTAATAGTTGCCAAAGGTAATTAGTTCCTAGAAGAAAAGAGAGATGGATGGAGAAGTACGAAGAGAGAGTTAGGGCAAAACTTTCTTCTCGAGAGAGCTAGAAGTGAAAGTTGGAGAAAAGAAAGGGAAATAGGATGAAAATTAAAGCAACTTCTAATTCGTCCTCCTGGACTTGAGAATTGAACACTTAAATGATTGACAAAACCTTAAATGAGGTGTTTAAGTTAAACTAATATCATTAGTCTACAATTACTCAGTATAATCTTTTTCTTGGAAGCTAAGCAAGATTAGTTTGAGTCAAACTTGGCTACTTAAGCTACTGAAACTATTAATTGCCTTAGTTAATTAGTTCGTAGAACAAAAGATAGAAGGATGGAAAAGGATGGAGAGAGTTAGATAGAAGCATTCTACATGTGAACTAGAAGAGAATGTTTGAGAAAAGAAAGGGAAATAGGATGAAAATTAAAGGGAATTCAAATTCATCCATTTGGAAAACATTAAATGAGGTGCTTAAGGTAAACAAATATCATTAAGCTACAATTACTCAGTAGAATCTCTTTTCTGTAGGCTAGTAAGATTAGTTTGAGTTAAACTTGGCCACTTAAGCCAATGCAACTATTAGTTTCCTAACCAAATTACTTCCTAGAACAAAATATAGATGGATGGAGAATGAAGGAGAGAGTTAGAGAGAAACTTTCTTTCAGAGAGCTAGAAGATAAAGTTAGAGAAAACAAAGGGAAATAGAATGGAAATTAAAGGGAATTCAAATTTGCCCTTTTGGACTTGAGAATTGAACACTTAGGTGATTTAGAAAACATGAAATGAGTTGATGAAGTTAAACTAATTTTGTTAAACTACAATTGCTCAGTAAAATCTCTTTCTTGGAGGCCAAGCAAGATTAGTTTGAGTTAAACTTGGTGGCCACTTAAGCTGATGAAACTATTAATTGCCTAAGCCAATTAGTTCCTAGAACAGAAGAGAGAAGGACGGAGAGAGTTAGAGAGAAAACGTTCTACACGAGAACCAGAAGGGAGAGTTAGAGAAAAGAAAGGGAAATAGGATGAAAATTAAAGGGAATTCAAATTCATCCATTTGGAAAACATTAAATGAGGTGCTTAAGTTAAACAAATATCATTAAGCTACAATTACTCAGTAAATTCTCTTTCTTGGAGGCTAAGCAAGATTAGTTTGAGTTAAACTTTGCCACTTAAGCTAATAAAACTAATAGTTGCCTAAGGTAATTTGTTCCTAGAACCAAAGAGAGAAGGATGGAGAAGGACGGGGGAGTAAGAGAGAAATTTTCTTCTCGAGTGGTAGAAGAGAAAAAGCTAGAGAACATAAAGGGAAAGTGGATGAAAATTAAAGTGACTTCAGATTCAACCTTTGAACACTTAGATGATTTACAAAACCTTAAATGAGGTGCTTAAGCTAAACTAATATTTTTAAGCTACCATTATTCGTTGTAATCTCTTTCTTGGAGGCTAATCAAGATTAGTTTGAGTGAAACTCGGCCACTGAAGCTAAAGAAACTATTAGTTGCCTAAGCTAATTAGTTCTTAGAAAAAAAGGGAGAAGTCTGGAGAAGGACGGGGAGAGTTAGCGAGAAACTTTCTTCTTGAGAGCTAGAAGGAAAAGGTTAGAGAAGAGAAAGGGAAGTAGAATTAAAATTAAAGGGAATTAAAATCCATCCTTTTGGACTTGAGAATTGAACGCTTAAATGATTTAGGAAACAAGAAATGAGTTGCATAAGTTAAACTAATATCGTCCACCTACAATTACTCAGTAAAATCTCTTCCTTGGAGGCTCAACAAGATTAGTTTGAGTTAAACTTGGCCACTCATGGTAATGAAACTATCAGCTGCCTAACCTAATTAGTTGCTAGAACAAAATAGAGAAGGAATGACACGGATGGAGAGAGTCAGAGAGAAACCTTCATCCTAAGAGCAAGAAGAGAAAGTTATAGAAAACAAAGGGAAATGAGATGAAAAATTAAAGCGAATTCAAATTTACCCTTTTGGACTTGAGAATTGAACATTTGGGTGATTTAAAAAATATTAAATGAGTTGCTTAAGTTAAAGTAATGTCGTTAGGCTACAATTATTGAGTAAATTCCCTTTTTAAGAGGCTAAGCAAGATTAGTTTGGGTTAAACTTGGCAACTTATGCTGATGAAACTATTAGTCACCGAAACTTATTAGTTCCTTGAATAAAAGAGAGAACGAGGGAGAACGACAGAGAGAGTTAGAGAGAAACTTTTTTCTTGAGAGTTAGAAAAGAAAGTAAGAGAAAAGAAAAGGGAAATATGATGAAAATTTAAGCGAATTCAAAATCATCCTTTTGGGTATGGGATTTGAACACTTGGGTGATTTACAAAACCTTAAACAACGTGTTTAGGTTAAACTAATATTGTTAGGCTACAATTACTCAATAAATTCTTTTTCTTGGAGGTGATCAAATTAGTTTGAGTTGAACTTGGCCACTTAAGCTAATGAAACTATTAATTGCATAAGCCAATTAGTTCCTAGAACAAAAGAGAGATGGATAGAGAAGGACGGAGAAAGTTAGAGAGAAAACGTTCTACATGAGAACCAGAAGCGAGAGTTAGAGAAAAGAAAGGGAAATAGGATGAAAATTAAAGGGAGTTCAAAGTCATCCATTTCGAAAACATTAAATGAGGTGCTTAAGTTAAATTAATATCGTTAAGCTACAATTGCTTAGTAGAATCTCATTCTTGGAGGCTAAGCAAGATTAGTTTGAGTTAAACTTTTCCATTTAAGCTAATGAAACTATTAGTTGGCTAACATAATTAGTTCCTAGAACAAAATAGAGAATGATGGAGAAGGACGAAGAGAGTTAGAGAGAAACTTTCTTCCAGAGTGCTAAAAGAGAAAGTTAGAGGATCTGCAGCATCTGGAAAGGGATTCCTACATGAAATATGTTGATCTTAGTAAGGTGGAGGAAGAGTTGGCCCATCAAAAATCGAGAGTTCAGTGGTTAGGTTTAGGGGATAGAAACTCCAGATTCTTCTTCAGGAATGTTAAAGGCAATATTAATTGGGGTAGGATCAACTCTATTCTTTCTGAAAACGGTGATAAATTTACCAAAATGGATGATGTTTGTTCTACTTTTGTGTCTACTTTCTCCGGTATTTTTGGTACTTGTTTTAATGATAGATATGAGGGCTTTGCGAGGATTAACTCCCTGGTTAATAATAGAATCTCCAACTCTTAACTTGATATATTAGCTAGGGAGGTTACTGACAAGGAGATCATTAACACTTTTTGGTCCTTGAAAACCAACAAAGCCCCTGGCCCTGATGGTTACCCTGTGAGCTTCTTCAAGAAAGCTTGGAATGTGGTTGGTTCTGAGGTTGTATTCGCTATTAAGTCTTTTTTCACTTCTGGTGAGCTCTTAAAGGAAATCAATAGTGCTCTCATTGCCCTCGTGCCTAAAGTCCCTAATCCTGAGAGAGTTGGTAAGTGTAGACCCATATCTTGTTGCAATACCATTTACAAATGTATTGCCAAGATCATTGCTAATAGGCTTAAGTTAGTCCTCCCTGGGATTGTTGACGAGGTTCAGTGTGCTTTTGTTCAGGGCAGAAGAATCTCGGATAACATTTTCTTGTCCCAGGAATTGATGAGAGGCTACCATAAGAACTCTCATGGCCCTTGATGTGCCATGAAGGTTGATATTATGAAAGCCTATGATAATGTTAGGTGGGAGTTTGTGATTGATACCCTAAGAGCTATGGGGTTTCCTCCTATTTTTATGAAGTGGATTTTTGCCTGTATGACCAGCCCCTCTTTCTCTATTTGCATTAATGGTAGCCTTCATGGCTATTTTAAGGCTGATAGAGGTCTTAGACAAGGGGATCCAAGGTCCCCTTACCTTTTTGTCCTTGTTATGGAAGTTCTATCTAGGATTTTGCAAGAAAAATCTACTCTTCCTAACTTTAAGTTTCATTGGAGGTGCGAAAAGGCTAAAATTGTTAACCTTTGTTTTGCTGATGACCTTATGATCTCTTGTAAAGGGGATGTTTATTCTGTAAATACTATTAAAGAGGGGTTAGAGGAGCTCAAGGTGTTGTCTGGTTTATCTCCCAGCCCTAGTAAGAGTCACATATTTTTCTCGAGCTGTGAGAAAAAGCTGAGGGATGAGATTACTGAGTTATCCAATTCCCTGAGGGTTTTCTCCCTGTTAGATATCTTGGTGTTCCCCTTATTTCTACCAAACTCAAGGCTATTGATTGTGCCCAATTAGTTAATAGAATCACTAAAAGAATCAAGAACTGGACAAATAAGTGTCTATCTTATGCTAGTAGACTTCAACTTATTTAGTCCATTCTCTTTTCCATGCAAGTCTATTGGGCTTCACTTTTCATCCTTCCTAAGAAAGTTATTAGGGAGATTGAGAGTCTCCTTAGATCTTTCTTGTGGTCTGGTAGTGATCTTAAAAAGCATGGTGCTAAAGTGTCTTGGGATAGAGTGTCTGCTCCTAAGAATGAGGGGGGTTTGGGCCTTAAATCTATGGCAATCTGGAATAAGGCTACTATTGCCAAACACATTTGGTTCCTCTTTTCCAGAGGGGAACAATCCATGTGGTGCCAATGGGTGAAATCCTACCTTTTAAAGGGTAGAAGTTTTTGGAAAGTCAAATTACCATCTGATTCTTCTTGGGTTTGGAGGAAGTTTCTTGCTCTTAGGAGCACTATATTTCCCCTTATTAAACATGTTGTTGGTAATGGGGCTGACACTAGGGCTGGGCATAGGGCCATCCGACCCGCCCAAACCGCCCTACCCAATCCGAACCGCGCATGTATGGGCGGTTTCGCAAACACATTAGGGTAGGGTGCGGTTTGGATTTTATCTAATTTTCGGGTTGCGGGTTTGACCCGCACCCGCCCAACCTGCCTGCATAAATTTTTTTTTTTTATTTTTTTAAAAAATCTGACTGTTCAAAAAAACCCTTTTTATTTTTATTTTTTTTTTTTACATTTTGGATGAATGTAAGTTAATGAAGAATTACCATTTTTTTTTTTTTTTTTTTTTTGTAGTTGGGTTAGGAATGATGAATATAGGATTTTTTAATTTGGGTTAGGAATGATGAATGTAGGATGAATGCAAGTTAATGATGAATGTAGATTTTGAATAATTTGTTTAGGTTACGAATTGAGATGAATGCAAGTTAATGATGAAGGTAAATTTTGAATGATTTGTTTAGGTTACGAATTGATTTTGTTGTGTTTTTTATTTTACAAGTTTTAATTCATTAATTATTAATGTTAGAGTATTTCAGAAAATGGGAGGAAAAAAGTCTAAAAGAAATATTGATAAAAAAATGGGGAAAATAAAAGGGTTTAACAAAAAATATTTGAAAAAAAGTTCAATTCGCAAACCGGCCTGCAACCGCCCATGCAACCGCAAACCCTATCTCCACAAACTGCAAACCGCATTGCGGGCGGTTACGGGTTGACTTTTCCTTAAACCGCATACATGTGGGCGGGTACAAACCGAACCGCGGACACCCCTAGCTGAGACTTTCCTTTGGTTTGATAACTGGCACCCTATTGGCTCTCTTTGGGAGAAGTATAGGGAGAGAATCAGATATGATTCTGTTCTCAACTGTGATGCTAAGGTTCAGGAGATTATTTCCAATAATTCTTGGAAATGGCCTACTGCACAAACCTTGTAGATTAGAGACCTCATCACTGCTACTCCTCTTGAGTTTAAACCTAGTAATTGTTCTGATAAAGTGCATTGGACTCCTTCCCAAGATGGGATCTTCAATATTGGTTCGGCTTGGAAGTTGTTGTGGCATACCTATAATATCCCCAAGACCAGTTTCATAACTTGGTTGGCCATTAATGGCAGATTGACCACTGGTGATAGGCTAAAGTGTTTTGGTATTTCCACCCAGGCTAATTGTCCTTTCTGTCAATTTTACAATGAGGATCATGAGCACCTTTTCTTTGAATGCCCTTTTTCTGTGAATATCTAGGGGGCTATCAAATCCAAACTCAATGTATCATGGCCTAATCTCCCTTGGGGTGTTCTGGTGAATCATACTGCTAAATCTGTGAAAGGTAAGGTTGCTTTCACTTGGGCTCAGTCATTGCCAAGGTTGCTTTCACTTGTACTGTGTATTCTATTTGGCTTGAAAGAAATCATAGAATTTTCACTAAGGAGAAGAAACCTGAAGAGGTGGTTCTGAAATTTATTGTTGATATGATTAGATATAGAGTCATGGCCATATCACATCAGCTTAAGGAACATGCTAGTGATGCTTGGTTCTTGCATACTTGGAAACTGCCACTTTCTATCTTTAAAAGTGTGCCTGGTCAATGAGGATTATTTTGTTTCTTCTGTTTATTGTTTGTATCCTTGTGCAGGAAAATGGCAAAGGGAAGTGAGCTTATTAAGTATGGTAGTTCAATATAATCTGCTAATGTTTTATATGCAATTCATACAGATGGTTGGCTAGTCTAAATGTAGGGATGGTGGGTTCAGGAATTATGAGCATATAATTAGGGATCTGAGTGAGTGTGGTGAGAAGTGGGTTGAGTGCCTTGAGCTCCCAAATAAATATTCATGTTGTTTGTATGCAAGTTACCTAGCTTTTTTGGGTGAGTAGTGCAGGTTACCTAGCTGGTACACATTGTAAGGGGAATGTTTGCTATGGGCTGAGTGATGTGAGCCCTATATTGTTTGAGTGTGCTATGAGTTTTATTGACTACTATATCTTTCTCACCTGTATTCCTAAATTGAGCTGGGAGTTTTTTATGAGGGCTGAGTTTGGTGAGATATAATGTGAGCTTTGTTTTCAGATGGGATTATAACTTGAAAATGTTATGGTATTATCTAATTCCTCTTCTTGTAGGTCAAAGAGCTGGTACTACTTGTAAGGGAATTACTGTTTGTGGGTTGAGTGTCGAGAGTACTACATTGTTTGAGTGCTTTTCTATTATCTATTATACACTCTCTTTATTGCTTAGTTTCCTACATTCTTTGTTGAGAATGAGTGCCCATGTGTGGGTTGAGTGTGTGAGATTATACAAAGTGATATTTGTTGTAGGACTGAGCTATGGTTACTTACATGCTGTTATGATCCATTCTTGTTTGGTTGCACCAGGAAATATTGAAATGCTCTTGGGGAAAAGTTTTGAGGCTGCTAAATTGGAACACATGTTGGATGACGTTATGGATGCCAGGCTGCAAAGTTGCGCCAACTCTTGTGATGTCTCTCAAAGAAGGAAATTTGTGTCTTTAAATTCTGCAGTTCTAGTAAATAATTGTACCTTTTGGGATCCTGTTTTAATTTTCTGTTTTGTCACCTATCCCTTGCGGGTTGTGCTTAGGGAATGCTTTACTCCAGTCTATGCGTTGCTGATGCTGTAGTGCTTACATACTTGAGCATTTTGGAATGCTGCTAGGTTGCTGCCATTTTGTGCTGCTGTGTCATTTTCTGGCTATCGCTGGGTTTAGTTTTCGTCTCCATAGCTGTTTCATATGTCTGTTTTATTGTTTCTTCTTATTCAGGCTCCCTATTTATTCGTAGATATGGATGTTGAATAGGATGTAGTTTAGTCTTTTATTTTTGAGTGTCTTTGGCCTGTTTGCATTGCTGTATTGCTGTTTTGTTTTGTTTTTATGTTGTTTGTATTCCTTGTCTAGTGGGTAGGGCCTGCGGCACGCCCTTTGTATCCGTGTAATTCTCTTGCTCTTATTTATTACTTATTCACCCCCCCCCCAAAAAAAAAAAGAAGAGAAAGTTAGAGGAAACAATGCGAAATAGGATGAAAATTAAAGAGAATTCAAATTCATCCTTTGGAACTTGAGAATTGAACACTTAGCTGATTTAGAAAACCTTAAATCAGGTGCTTAAGTTAAACTAATATCGTTAAGCTACAATTACTAAGTAAATTCTTTTTCTTGGACGCTAAGCAAGATTAGTTTTAGTTAAACTTTGCCACTTAATCTAATGAAACTATTAGTAGCCCAAGCTAATTAGTTCCCAGAGCAAAAGAGAGAATGATGGAAAATGATGGAGAGAGTTAGAGAGAAACTTTCTTTCAGAGAGCTAGAAGAGAAATTTAGAGCAAAGAAAGGGAAGTAGGATGAAAATTAAAGGGAATTGTTCATCCTTTTATACTTTAGAATTGAACACCTAGCTGTTTTAGAAAACCTTAAATAAGGTACTTAAGTTAAATTCATATAGTTAAGTTACAATTACTCTGTAAAATCTCTTTCTGGAGGATAAGCCAAATTAGTTTGAGTTAAACTTGGCCACTCAAGCTAATGAGACTATAAGTTGGCTAAGCTAATTTGTTCCTAAAACAAAACACAGAAGGTTGGAGGAGGACGGAGAGTGTTAGAGAGAAACTTTCTTCTTGAGAGTTGGAAGAGAAAGTTAGAGAAAAGAAAGGGAAAAACAATGAAATTCAAAGGAAATTTAAATTCATCCTTTTTTACTTGAGAATTGAACACTTAGGTAACTTAGAAAACATGAAATGAGTTGCTTAAGTTAAACTAATATCGTGAAGCTACAATTACTCAGTAAAGTCTCTTTCTTACAGGCTAAGCAGTATCAGTTTGAGTTAAACTTGGCCAGTTAAGCTGATGAAACTATTAGTTGCCTAACCAAATTAGCTTCTAAGAACAAAATAAAGAAGGATGGAGAAGGACAAAGAGAGTGAGAGAGAAACTAAAATCCTGAGAGCTAGAAGAGAAAGTTAAAGAAAACAAAGAGAAATAGGATGAAAATAAAAGCGAATTCAAATTCATCCTTTTGGATTTGAGAATTGAACACCCAGGTGATTTACAAAACCTTAAATGAGGTACTTAAGTTAAAGTAATATCGTTAAGCTACAATTAGTCAATAAAATCTCTTTCTTGGAGGCTCAGCAAGATGAGTTTGAGTTAAACTTGGCCACTTATGCTAATGAAACTATTAGTTACTAAAGGTAATTAGTTCCTAGAACAAAAGAGAGAAGGGTGGAGGACGGAGAGAGTTACGGAGAAACTTTCTTCCAGAGAGCCAGAAAAGAAAGTTAGAGCAAACCAAGGGAAATAGGATGAAAATTAAAGGGAATTCAAATTCATCATTTTGGACTTGAGAATTGAATACTTAGTTGATTTAGAAAACAGTAAATGAGTTACTTAAGTTAAAGTAATATCATTAAGCTATAATAGCACAGTAAATTATCTTTCTTGGAGGCTAAGCAAGATGAGTTTGAGTTAAACTTGGCCACCTAAGCTAATGAAACTAAAAGTTGCCTAAGCTAATTACTTTTTTTTTGGGGTAAGTAAGTCATAAAATTAAGACAGTAAAATGTACAAGTTTACAAGGGGCATACCCTAGGTACGGCCTACAACAAGTAATGGACCAAAAAAAACACCATAAAACTACTACTGGACATCCTATAACATAAAACCACACTCGCAGAAGCGAAAGAACAACAGAAAAAACAGAACCCCACTTTGCCCATATATCCTTTTTGTCCCCAAGTAACCCCTATCATCAGAGATAATAGAAGGAAACTTGGGGTGGATATATGGGCAAATAAACAAGACATACCACAGACGCATAAAACATAACAGAAAACACACAATACAAATGTAACTAACTAAACACCTAACAAGATCAATCGAAAATGATAACTGCCCCCGCTTGCTCCCAGTCTCTACCACGGATGAAAGCATGGAATCCAATAAGCATCTCTTTTCTCATAGCCGTGACATCCTAGCCACTCAACCAAAGCCATGACGAAGGAAAATATCTATCCCATGAAAGATCCTGGCTGAGTCACATGAAGCCTGCAAAGTCAATTACCATAATCAACGGTCTTGAGAAGTTTAGTAACAAAACAAATAGCCCCGCTGCAATAAACCAATACATAGCTAACAAATCATGAGAGCAATCATCACATCCCCCAGTCCCTTCCTTGGTAGATCACAAGCCTCAAACCCCACGGCAGTGTCCCCTTCACTCCATGTCAGGCGTGGCAATACAATCAATTAGGATGGGTCACATGAAGACAATAAGTGACCAGAAACCCGGTAGCTATCCTCCCGTTCATCTCCCAGTCTCTAACTCGGCTAGTTATCGAACCACTATTCCCCATAGCAGTGACTCCCAATCACTCTTGGCGGAGATGGCTCAAAACCACCCTCATATCGAGTCACATGAGGATCACACGATCAATCATCATGAAATAACAGACTACACAAGGTCCGCTGCATTATGGCTAAACAAAAATATGGACTGAAAAAGTGCGCCCAAAATTGCGGCAACCAACAACACAAAATCACTCATAACCAAAATAGTAAACCCGTGGGTCAAATAAGGGGCCCACCGGGGATTTAGAGAGAAATTTTCTTCTCGAGTGGTAAAACAGAAAATGTTAGTGAAAAGAAATGGAAATAGAATGAAAATTAAAGTGAATACAATTTCATCCTTTTGGACTTGAGAATTGAATACTTAGCTGCCTTACAAAACCTTAAATGTGGTGCTTAAGTTAAACTAATATCGTTAAGCCACAATTACTCAGTAAAATCTCTTTCATGGAGGCTAAGCAAGATTAGTTTGAGTTAAACTTGGCCACTTAAGCTAATGAAACTATTATTTGCCTAAGCTAATTAGTTCCTAGAACAAAAGAGAGAAGGTTGGAGAAGGACGGAAAGAGTTAGAGAGAAACTTTCTTCTTGAGAGCTAGAAGGGAAAGTTAGAGAAGAGAAAGGGAAATAGAACGAAAATTGAATTGAATTCAAAGTCATCCTTTTGGACTTTAGAATTAAACACTTAGGTGATTTAGAAAACATGAAATTAGTTGCTTAAGTCAAACTAATTTCTTTAAGCAACAATTAGTCAGTGAAAACTCTTTCTTGGAGGCTAAGCAAGATTAGTTTGAGTCAAACTTGGCCACATAAGCTAATGAAACTATTTGTTGCCTAAGCTAATTAATTCCAAGAACAAAATAGAGAAGGATGGAGAAGGACGGAGGGAGTTAGAAAGAAACTTTCTTCTGGAGAGTTAGAAAAGAACGATAGAGAAAAGAAGGGGAAATAGAATGAAAATTAAAGGGAATTCAAATTCATCCTATTGGACTTGAAAATTGAACACTTAGGTGATTTAGAAAACATTAAATGAGTTGAGTTAAACTAATATCGTTAAGAATTCCTCTGTAATTTCTCTTTGTTGAAAGCTAACCAAGATTGGCCACTTAAGCCAATGAAACTATTATTTGCCTAAACTAATTAGTTCTTTGAACAAAAGAGGGTAGAGAAGGACGAAGAGAGTTTGAGAGAAACTTTCTTCTTGAGAACTAGAAGGGAAAGTTTGAGAAAAGAAAGGGAAATAGGGTAAAAATTAAATCGAATTCGAATTCATCCTTTTGGACTTCAGAATTGAATACTTAGCTGGTTTAGAAAACATTAAATGAGTTGCTTAAATTAAAGTAATGTCACTAAGCTACAATTACTCAGTAAATTCTCTTTCTTAGAGGCTAAGCAAGATGAGTTTGAGTTAAACTTGGGCACTTAAGTTGATGAATCTAATAGTTGCCTAAGCTAATTAGTTCCTAGAACAAAAGAGAGAAGGATGGAGAAGGGTGGGGGACTTAAAGAGAAATTTTCTTCTCGAGTGGTTGAAGAGAAAGTTAGAGAAAAGAAAGGAAAATAGGATGAAAATTAAAGTGAATTCAAATTCATCCTTATGGACTTAAGAATTGAACAAAACCTTAAATGAGATGATTGACAAAACCTTAAAGAATTAGAGAGAAACTTTCTTCTTGGGAGGTGGAAGAGAAAGTTAGAGAAAAGAAAGGGAAATTCGATGAAATTGAAAGGAAATTTAATTTCATCCTTTTTGACTTGAGAATTGAACACTTAGGTGACTTAGAAAACATGAACTGAGTTGCTTAAGTTAAACTAATATCGTGAAGCTACAATTACTCAGTAAAGTCTCATTCTTGGAGGTTAAGAAAGATTAGTTTGAGTTAAACTTGGCCATTTAAGCTAATAAAACTATTTGTTGCCTAAGCTGATTAGTTCCGAGAACAAAAGAGAGAAGGTTGGAGAAAGACGTATAGAGTTAGAGAGAAACTTTCTTCTTGAGAGCTAGAAGGGAAAGTTAGAGAAGAGAAAAGGAAATAGAATGAAAATTGAATTGAATTCAAATTCATCCATTTGGACTTTAGAACTGAACACTTAGGTGATTCAGAAAACATGAAATTAGTTGCTTAAGTCAAACTAATTTCTTTAAGCAATAATTAGTCGGTGAAATTTCTTTCTTGAAGGCTAAGCAATATTAGTTTGAGTCAAACTTGCCCACTTAAGCTAATGAAACTATTTGTTGCCTAACCTAATTAGTTCCAAGAACAAAATAGAGAAGGATGGAGAAGGACGAAGGGAGTTAGAAAGAAACTTTCTTCCGGAGAGCTAGAAAAAAAAGTTAGAGAAAAGAAGGAGAAATATAATGAAAATTAAAGGGAATTCAAATTCATCCTTTTGGACTTGAGAATTGAACACTTAGGTGATTTAGAAAACAACACACGAGTTGAGTTAAACTAATATCA